CCCCAAAACCCCAAAACCCCAAAACCCCAAAACCCCTAAAATTAGGATTTTAGTTGAAATTTTAATTTTTAATCTTGGACTTTAGGAATTTAGTAGAGAAGGATTGTGTGAGAAGTTTAAGCCTGAAGAGGAGGAGGAGATTTAGAGTAGAGATTTATGGGGCAAGTTTGGAAGAACATATTGGATATGGGGGAGGAAGAGAGGGAGATATGGAGGTGTGTTGGGTGTGGAGGGAGGAGATATGGGAAGAAAGTGGGCCTGGTTTGGTATTGTTATGTTTGTGTAGGGTCTTTGGAGGAATTTTTTACTTTGGATGCCAGAATGTTGATGAAGAAGCCACTATAGATACTGAAGGAACTAAGTTTAGGGCTCAGAGTATTTTTGAACATTTTAGTAGTGTATTTTGGACACAGAGTCTTCAATGATAATATCTATTCGATGTTCAAGCCTTTCAACCGCATCTTTAGCATAATTCGGGAACACTTGTTATCTGTATTTGTATCTCCTTGTTTTTGTATACATGATGAACCATTATGATGCAAGGAAGATGTGGGGCTTTGTCAAATCCAGACTTGATAAACCTGTCACTAAAGAATACCACACTTATGACGATGATTGTACCATCAACTGGTATAATATTATCGATAACATGGACCATTACTTCTTAGCCCATTTCACAAACTGGTTCCTTGCTGCTGTCATTCTCAGATACTCTTACCTACTCCATTTCTGGAGTTTACTTGATGAGATTCTTGAACTGAGTGCCCAGCATAGACTTCCTCACTTTAGAGAGTGCTGGTGGGACCACGTATTCCACGATTTCTTACTGACGAACACTCCAGGGATCATTCTCGGTCTCAAATTTGTAAAGTTCCTTGGACTCAAGGAGTATGACTGGCTTGGCAGAAAAGGTAAGAGCAGCATTAGAGAATGGAGAGTATTCAACTGTTACTACCGCTTTGGAGGAATCATTCAAATGTACTTCATTATCAGTGCTAACTTCTTGACAGGATTCTTTATGATTAATGTTCTCTGGCTTCCTCCTCTCAGCATTCCAACAGTAACAAGAATGTACATTTGGTTCTTGCTAGGAAACATTTCATTCAAAGAGAGATATAACGTATTAGAAAATAAAGACGACCCTAAAAGGAGAAATGAGTATAATGACCCTTCCAATAGATGGGTGACGTATGGCATTGTTATTCTCAAAATTGCAATCTCTCTTAAATTTGTAAGAGACGCGGGAAATCTTACAGAAGACCCAATGCCGATGTATGTCATAATATTTTGGTCAATAGTACTCCCTCTGCTTGCTGGTTACTATATCTATCTCAGATGGATCAGAAATACCGACAAAGAGTTCAAAGAACAGCACCTTGCCACTCCAAGCAAGAAATCTGTCAAGAAGAATGGTTTTAGAATGTCAACTGATAAAAAGAGAAGATAATTTTAGAATTTTGTCAAAAAGTTATTGGTAGCTTATTAATTGGGGTTTTGGGGTTTTGGGGTTTTGGGGTTTTGGGGTTTTGGGG